TTTTACGTGGTTGACACGGAATTAAGAAACTATTCCTGCAGCTGCCAGTATAATATGTAACAATAGTTACATATTTTAACAGTAGTTCTGTCAAAACAGGATTGAATCCATAATCATCCTCATTCATTTTTGCTCTTTAAACTTACATGGTGATGCCCACTTAATCTTGATGCACCTATTTAACCCATGAGGACAGCATTTCAGCATTTTTAATTAAATTCTTCTTACTCTGCAAGAATGCTGGTCTCCACTAGGTTGTGATAGAAATACACAACCAATGTGTTTTGCAAATGCTTTTCTAGTTAACGGACTTTGTGTTTTTTGCAGACACACTATTGCAGCATTTTATGTTCCCACACAGTTGGTCACACTAGCATGGGCTATGTGGCTTGGGCAAAATCGAAGGTGTGGATAGTGACACTAGCTCCAAGTGTAAGCAAGAAGAGCCGACTGACCTACCTCACAGTAGACAGGCTCCAGTCATCAGACAAATAGGGTTCCTCCTGCTGGTATCTGCAAAACCAGGGAAAGACTGGCATCTCCACCTCCCCACAGTGGATACAATAACTCACCAGGTTCTGCAGCAGAATTGCCAAAAACACCGGGAGGTGCAGTGCATAACAGCAGCCAGCTGTTCCTCAGTGAGGGGTCTGTGGATGATGAACATTCATGGAAAGTATTAAGAAAGATACAAAAAAATAGAGGAACTTGTGGAAAAAACATACTCTCAAAAAACAAGTTGAAGGTGATGGTGGCACCACGACTACTTACTGTACTAGCATTTCATAACATCTTATGAGCAATAGGTGTGAGTCATTTAAAAGTGACAAAAGTGGGTCATCTGGTGGATAAGGTGCTAGTTTTAAGCTAACTAACATACTACCAGTACTCAAGTGCAGAATCCACAGAGAGCGGAGGCTGTAGAAAGCCAGGACTAACACACACTGCCAAGCAAATTAAAAGTCTTTACACAAGAATTTGCCAACAACCCCATCGAGCCTTTTTTCAATCCTTTCATGCCTGTAGTCTGAAGAGGGAAAGGTTATCTCTCCAGACGCTGGGTGTCAACAGAGAGCCGCAACTGTATTACTCTCTGCCAAAGTTCAATGCAAGTGATCATTGTTGCTTGTTATACTTCAGAGCAGCAGACAAGAACACATGAAAGCCTCAACTAAAATATTGTGAACGCTGAAAGGAGCCAACCCATTACTGTTACCAAGGCTGGCTGGCAGCAGCTGAATACAGACATGTTTGTTTAGGCAGTTAACCTGTCCAACCTGAGACTTGGAAACAAAGATGTGAGCGAGTCATAGGTACCTGCACTGCTATCAAAACACGTGAGCACCGGAAACGTGAGGAGGTGGCTTTTTCACAACAGAAAAATGACGGCACAGCTTTTCTTTCTCCATTTGCAGAATGCAGTTCCTAGCACCTGACGCTGAGGCACTGAGGACAGTGGAGGTTATCTTACATGATGCAACAGTCACGGATGAGCCTGGTCATTAATGTTAGAGCCCGTTTAGAGTGTAAAGTCTGTGTGGGCACATAAAAACATTCCAGGCTTTGGGAGTAATGAGTCTGTATATGAAAGAAATATAAGTCTTCTGTAGCCATTAGTGTAATACAGCATTATTACAAATAAGAGTTTTCTGATGTATGTTGTATGCCTGTCTTCTCTGAAGTGTGACTCAGGGGTTATGGACAATTGCACTGCAATATACTGTACAGTATCAAAAAAAAAGACTATGGTTTTCTTCTATAAACAATGTGCTTTATTACTGCAATGACTAATGTGCACCTCGTGTACAATGTTAAGCCAACAGAATACACTATACATACTTATCTGGAAAAATATAACATGCAGATTTGAGATTTTTTTTTTTCGCCGTTTGGAGAAGTATGATATAGACATTTCTACATTTAGAAAAGAAATAGAAAAAAATCATATCAAATGTTTTGTGTCTTATAACTTACTTTCTCATTTTTCTCTTACAATATAATTATTCAAAAGTGTTAAAGGAACTCTGACTATGAAGACGTGCATACCTGATTATATTAAGATTAACAGCAATTTGAATGTTATTTAAAAAACGTTTGTGAATTAAAAAAGTGACACATTGTTGGAACAGTCTTGGTCTTAATGTCTAGATATTACAGCGCGTATTTTGTTCAACTTTTTTCAGGTCGACGGTGAAATAATACAGCCCCCCTTTCTTTTCGTTACCCAAGACTGTTTAGTCTTGGGTTTAGTCAGTTTAATAGTAACACACGTAAACATGGTCCATAACGACTAGCTCGCGCACATCTGCCAGCCACCTGCATCCGAAGTGTCTGATAAGCTCCATCAGTCTTTGTTGGAGAACAGAAGAACACTTACGGGCCATGTGGCATTTCATTGTAGTTGTTGCTTACAGCCAACAGCATGTTTTTCCTGTTTTGGTTGGCTAAATAGGGAACTATGCCATGTGTTTTTTTTAACACCGTGGTTTAGTATATGAGATCACACGAGCTGAAATAATCTGAGTTCCTTTTAAGTCAACATTATGTTGTATGGGAAAAATGTGAAAGTGGCCACTTAAATGAGTGCATCATGGTTTGAGATTTAAAGGGTTTGGGAAAACTTACCTATGAAATATAACATATACTATTGCAGCCTATGGGGAATTCTTATTAGTTTTGTAGTTATTTATTTATTTATTTTCATATGGATCTACAAAGCATGCATTTTTTTGAGTCTCTATATGCTTACCGTTTTGCACTGCCTGTCAGCCCAAAGTAGCACATTACAATATAAAATGATGTCAGCATACTTTACTCGGATGAGGTGTTGGGGGGAGAAGAGGAAGGGGCACTGCGGGACACAAGGACACATAGTACTTGTGCATAAACAGACCCCAGAGAGTATCTTGTGCCTATATGACAAATCCAAATGCTAAGACAGCATCTTTATGTATAAATAACCATACATAATGAATTATATAGTCCCTGTACAGTTTTTTTTTCTGTTGGCAATGAAGGTTGTTGTTGTTAGACATTTGTAGGAAATAAATACATCCCATTGCCAGAAATGTTTTTTTTGTTTTTTACTGAATAAATTACATTGAGTATTCTATAGAACATACAGTAGTGCATATGTTAGTTTTGAAACTGTGGGAGCAATAAATAAAAACGCACAGTTGGAGTTGTGTCGCTGGCTTTCTGTTATTCAGTCCATATATGTGTTTACAGTTGCTGTGTACATAACTGAAAGTAGAACATATACTATGAATTATGAAGTGTTCCAGGAGGATTGTGGGTCCTTGAGGAAGGTGAGTGATTATTTCACAGTATGTCAAATACTTTGTTGCAGTTGTTTGTTTTTAATGAGCATCTGCCAAACGTACAATGCATTTCTTTATATTGTTGCTCTTAGGAGCCATGACTTTCCTTTTTTTTAAAAAAAACAATCTTGACCAGTAGTTTGGACATTGATTGCTTTTTCATTCATTTTCAGTTCAGTCCTTGTAGCGGACCATTTTCACAGGAATGTGTTTTGTTTTGTGTGTGTGTGTGTGTGTGTGTGTGTGTGTGTGTGTGTGTGTGTGTGTGTGTCACTTAACACTGACCTATGAATCAATCAAGTACAATAACACACAGTTATATAAGACAATTTGCCATAAAGTAGTGTTTTTGCACCAAGAAAGTGATTTGCACAGAGCTAAAAGCTGAAAACTTGACACATCTTTGCATGATGTTTGGTGTCTTCTTAAAAAAATCTTAAGAAACTTGACAAGTGGAGGATAAAAGAAGAAGCCAGGCCTAAAAACTATCTACAGCATATGAACGATGAGCATTTGATGGGTGAGTTTTTGAAAGTAAATAAGAAAAAAAGCAAAGATCTGACCCAGGACATGAATCAGATGGGTGGCTGCCAATAAGCTATTCTTTATGAAGAGGAAAAGGATAAAATTAATGTAATTTGAAGACAGAAAAAAGTAAGGTCAGATTTTGACCTACCAGGCAATATCATCTGGAAAACATCTAGTTGGCTTCATTTTTCAACATCACAACACACAGCCAGTAAAGTAATAACATACCTGCATAGAAAAAACCCATAATGGAACACTGTCAGTCATTGATTGGCTTCCTCAGAGCCCGGACCTCAACGTTATTGAAGCAATGTGGGATCATCTTGAGAGAGAACAGAACAAAGGCGGCCAATATCCAAAGAATCATTGTTGTGAATGTCCTTCATGAAGCCTGGAAAACTATTCCTGAAGAATATTGCCTAGGAGACTTCTGCGCTTTTTTGCATACTACATTGTAACCCATCTACTCGTTTTGACCACTTAAAATATCTTTATAGAAATATTATTTAAATGTAACTGTGTTATGTTTGTTGAAATTTCTGTAACCCCCTTGTCTCTCTTTAAAAATGCATTTTTAACGTCAGTGGGCGTTTTACATTGATAAATAAATGCTATATAAAAGTTGTTTCGCCAAAAACTGATTGTAGCTTCTACCTCGTGACAGAAATATTCTCTCTGATATCGATATTTTTGACATATATTTCATAGTATAGGCAAACAAGACGATCACGTTTTGGCACAACTGGCTGGCTGGCTCTATCGCTACATTAAAGAACAATAACAGAGTTTTCAGGGTGGAGAAAAGAAACCGGGGATGGACCAAAATAACTCGTGACGTAGAGATGAGTTGCTTGGAAGTTTTCGCTTTTGAAATATTCGTTTTCCCTTTCTTTTCTGGTCTCTGTGCTTCAAAGTGTGAATTATATAAGGTCAGATTTTGGCCTACCAGGCAATAGTACTAGAAAGGTGTTGCTATGGTCGCCAATGCAGAAAGTTCACTACAATAATGTTACAATAATACTGTGTACGATAAACGATTTACAAAAAGTCAATTTAGGTCACTTTCTGATCTATTGGAACTACTGTGGTCCGTTAGTGACACCCAGTGGCCGTTTTAAATGTTGACTGCTTGGGAGAAACGAAAGTGAAAGAGCTCCATTTTCCTCGATAAAGGCACCGTGAATCAGCGCGTTTGCTGTGAATGTAGTTTTAGGCAACGCAGGAGCCAGTTTAGTGATCTGTTATCGGTTAAGTGAGTACCGATGGAGTCTGAAACGGATGAAATGCGCGAGTGCCTGATTGACTGCTTGAGGCCGAGGCTGAAGGAGCTTATTGTGGTGGATCGGGTCCTGGATCTTATAGACTTTATCGAAAACGAGCAAAAGGAACGGATCAGGCAGAAGGCCAGAAACGATGGTGATATTTCGGCTGCGGACTACCTTATTAACGCAGTAGTTCAGAAGCCACATACTCCCGGATGGTTCACTGCGTTCGTTGACGCACTGAATAACGGGGGCTGTAACTTCGCAGCTGACTACATGCAGTTAAATCTCCCAACTCCCGAAGCTGAGGCAGAGAATGAAAACTGTGTCCGACTTATTCACTTACTTATTCCCAGCCTTGCAGACATGGCTACAGAAACAGTGTGTGCACACTGTTTCAGTAAAAGACTGCTCACCGAAGATGAGCGCGACAGAGTAAGTACATTATAGTGCAACCAACCTTTCAAAACTACTACTGCTTTACCTGCATGCTGCTTAGCACATGAGCTTTGGTGGTAAGAGAGAAAATATTCAAGTGTCAAAGGTTCACTGTGTGTATTCACACTAATTTCACTGGTGTGAAAAACCTCGAAAGTATCAGTATAGCTTCAGTATTTACCTTTTCTTCCAACTGTTTCCCAAAACATGTCTTTTCTGTCTTTGACCACTAGATGGCAGACAAATGTAGGCCGCTCATCCTTTTGGTGGCAATGCCTTTCTCTTATTGCTTAGCAAACTGACTTTATTCATTACACTTGTCATCTAGATTACGGCTGAAATAGTCAACAGGGGACGCAGGAGTGGCGCAAGGGAACTTTTAAGAAGAATTATCAAATGTCCACCAGGATGGTATTCAACATTTCTTCAAGTTCTTAAAGACACTGAACACCATGTGCTCTATAATGAGTTGACTGGCAACGAAGGTAACTGAACTACGCTGGAAGACACACACCCAATACACCAAATACTATCAGGGAAGTTTGGGACACAGAAGTCTCAGTGGTGAGATATAGACAGATTGTATAAAACATGTGCACATAAGTGATTACAACTACAGAGGGAATTCAGTATCTTTAATCCAACTGCATTAGTAAATATACTGTGATCATTGCTTTGCAACAATCCCACTAATTAAAATTGGGATGATTAATTATGATTAAGAGTTTTAGTTATAGTCTTTATTACATTTAAAGCCATGTTCTTGGTGTAGACTAGTGTAACAAAGGAAAATAACAAGTTATTATTTTACTAAACAGTTATCCAAATAACCTCAAATAATCCTGGAATAACCATATTTATGGAAAAAGATAATCATCATTAACTTAAAACATTCTAGAAGGCATTAGTATATACGCTCACTGGCCACTTTATTAGGTATACCTGTTTAACTCCCCATTAATGCAAATATCGTGTTGGCCAGTCACATGGCAGCAGCTCATGACATGGTTAATATAACCTGCTTCAAAACGAGCATCAGAATGAGGAAAGTAATCTCAATAGCTTTGAGTGTGTCATAGCTGTTAGTGCCAGGCAGACAGCTCTGACTATTTCACAGTCTGCTGATCTGCTGGGAATTTCCCATGTAACCATCTCTAGGGTTCACAGAGAATGACCAGAAAAAGACAAAAGAAATATCCAGTAAGTGGCAGCTTTCTGGGAGAAAATACTTTGTTTGCCAGACTGCTGATAGGTGGCAACAGCACCTCACTGTAACTCCTTGTTGAGCACATGGGCCACAGCAGCAGAAGACCATGGCGGATGTCATTCCTGCGAGATAAGAACAGGAAACTGAGACTGCAGTTTGCACAGGCTCACACATGGCCTGCCCTGTACCAGTGGTTTAGGCTGGTGTTGGTGGCATAATGGTTTGGGGCATATTTTCTTGACACCCTTTGGGCCCCTTACTACCAACAAACATCGATTAAATGCCACAGCCTGCATCCCATCCCACCCCTTCTTGACCACAGTGTACCCATGTTGCTCCCAGCAGGATACTGTGGTATGTCACAAAGCTCAGATCATCTCTTTTTTTTTTCTTAAACGTGACAATGAGTTCATCGTCCTCAAATGGCTTCCACAGTCACAAGATCTCAATCCAATAGAGCGCCTTTAGGATGTGATGGAGTGGGGCGTTTCAATCACATCGTGGATTTGCAGCCAACAAATCTGCAGCAACCACATGATCATCATGTTAATATGGAAAATCACAGAGAAATGTTTTCAGCATCTTACTGAATCCAATTATGTCAGTTCTGAAGACAAAAGGAGGCCGACTGTGTACTAGCAAGGTGTACTTAACAAAAAGGCCGGTGCGTGTATGAAGGCAATGATTAGTTCATAATTACTCAAAATAAGTCTAACTCTTCATCATTAACTCTGATGCAAACACAGAGCAGCACAAAACAGTAGCTACTCATTTATTAATAATTACTTCACCATTAGTTACTATTTTCCTGTTGCCTCATGCATCACACTAAGTAATTACTCAGTAGTTCCTTCTTACTGCAAAATTACTTTACCATTACTAACAAAGCAAAACAAAACATCATATTTAATTTCTGATCAGTTGTTTTCTTCTCAGTATTTTCACCAGTACCTTCTATTTCTCTGTCGGTTTAAGTAAAGTGAAATGTCAGATTTAATAGTTGTAAGGTAATTCCTTAATACTCAGGGACTGGTTTGCCATTACTGTTTACCTACTCAAGTAAAGTGAAACATCTGTCTTTATGCAAATATTGATGTACTGTATTATAAAGTGTTACCTGGTAAATTGTTACTCCTCATTTCTAAAATGTTCCTTTTTTACATTTTTTAGGATCAGATAAGAAACCATCACTGAAAGACAAACCTATAGCTACAAGGGAGAGTCCAACATCAGCTGAAAGTTGTGATGGCACTGAATCCATGGAGATCACCGTGAACGAACAGCCTATGGATCAATCCACAGGTCACACAGAGCATGTCTGTTTAATGTCAGCATTAAGGAGAGCTGAGGAAGTGCGCTCACACGTGTCATTCTTACTGTTAATCTAACATATATCTAACATTTCTTTACTAGAAATTTAAACTTTTAATGCGTATACGGAAATATGTAAAAGGTTGAAGGAATACAAACAAAATTCAGTTTACTTAAAACTACAGCTAACACTGTAACTACCAATTTTTTAACTTTGGTTTATGTCCTTTCAGACTTGTATGCAGGCAATGAACTGCCCAGCAACTCGGAGCCCTCACAGCCAGGTGAGATGGGTTCACTTTTATTCACCCTGTTAAGGCAATTAAAGTATTTAAAGGGGTTTTTGGTAATTACAAATATTTTATTTGCTTCAGTAGGTCATGCACAATAACCAAACTAAGATCAGTGCAGCTGTAGCTGCCCTAAAGTATCCTGAGTATCCTAAAGGCAACATGAAGTACGGTAAAGGAAAAATGTTGTTGTAACATGTGGTTACATTAGTGGAACATTAACTCTGTCCTGCCAGGCAGACAGCTCTGACTATTTCAGAATCTGCTGATGTGCTGGGAATTTCCCATGTAACCATCTCTAGGGTTCACAGAGAATGGCCAGAAAAAAGACAAAAAATATCCAGTAAGTGGCAGCTTTCTGGGAGAAAATACCTTGTTTGCCAGACTGCTGATAGGAGGCAACAGCACCTCACTGTAACTCCTTGTTGAGCACATGGGCCACAGCAGCAGAAGACCATGGCGGATGTCATTCCTGCGAGATAAGAACAGGAAACTGAGACTGCAGTTTGCACAGGCTCACACATGGCCTGCCCTGTACCAGTGGTTTAGGCTGGTGTTGGTGGCATAATGGTTTGGGGCATATTTTCTTGACACCCTTTGGGCCCCTTACTACCAACGAGCATCGATTAAATGCCACAGCCTGCATCCCATCCCACCCCTTCTTGACCACAGTGTACCCATGTTGCTCCCAGCAGGATACTGTGGTATGTCACAAAGCTCAGATCATCTCAATTTTTTTTTCTTAAACGTGACAATGAGTTCATCGTCCTCAAATGGCTTCCACAGTCACAAGATCTCAATCCAATAGAGCGCCTTTAGGATGTGATGGAGTGGGGCATTTCAATCACATCGTGGATTTGCAGCCAACAAATCTGCAGCAACCACATGATCATCATGTTAATATGGAAAATCACAGAGAAATGTTTTCAGCATCTTACTGAATCCAATTATGTCAGTTCTGAAGACGAAAGGAGGCCGACTGTGTACTAGCAAGGTGTACTTAACAAAAAGGCCGGTGCGTGTATGAAGGCAATGATTAGTTCATAATTACTCAAAATAAGTCTAACTCTTCATCATTAACTCTGATGCAAACACAGAGCAGCACAAAAAAGTAGCTACTCACTTAAAACTACAGCTAACACTGTAACTACCAACTTTTTTAAACTTTGGTTTATGTCCTTTCAGACTTATATGCAAGCAGTGAACTGCCCAGCAACTCGGAGCCCTCACAGCCAGGTGGGATGGATTCACTTTTATTCACCCTGTTAAGGCAATTAAAGTATTTAAAGGGGTTTTTGGTAATTACAAATATTTTATTTTGCCTCAGTAGGTCATGCACAATAACCAAACTAAGATCAGTGCAGCTGTAGCTGCCCTAAAGTATCCTGAGTATCCTAAAGGCAACATGAAGTACGGTAAAGGAAAAATGTTGTTGTAACATGTGGTTACATTAGTGGAACATTAACTCTGTCCTGCCAGTTTCGCACTAATAAACAAATTCCATGTGTGCATCATGATGAACTACACAGAGGTCAAAGAGGACAGCGCATAGCTAGCAGTTCAAATGAAAACCATATGCTGGAGTATAAGGAAATGTAAAGGAAAAGTTACATTCATGTGGCTCTGTAGTGTTTGGCTTATATGATGGATAAGTACATTTCTGCTTGGAATACTCTACCCTGAATAGCGAAGCAGGAAGAAAAGAGTTGAATCAGATTAGTTCTTTTGCAGTTTAGTCAGGTTATTTCAGTAGTAGAAAGGCCCCAAAGATGTCTGCAGCCTGCGAGTAAATGGGTTTAACAGAGTAGTTTACATGAAAGATTGTTCCTGCAAGGCGAGTCTCTAGCAGAATTGTTTTTTTAAATGTTTTCTAAAATGAGCAGAGCTCATACTCAGTCCTAATGAATCTGAAAACAGCTCTATGTTTATTTCTTGAATAATTCTATGGGAACTGCTTTCAGAAGTTCAGGAGGCCACATGGACCACTGTTTACTTATTAATATAATTAAAGCTCTTTTTTCTAATCATTAGAGACTTGCATTTGCTTGCATAAAGTTGCTTGAAACAACACCGTAACCTCTGGCATACCAAGTCATTAAAAATTGTCTGCACTGAGAAAAAAAAATAAGATTTGGGGGGTTTAAACTCTCACTGGGGGGGAAGAAGAACTTAGAGTTGAGTGGAAAGGGGAGCAGAGTAGGGGGTACATTCATATTGCTCCTGGTGTCTTAGCCATGTATTATCCCCTGCCTAGACAGAGCAAATAAGTAACAGCCTGCCAGCAACTTGGAGTCTAAGTGGATCATAGTAAGTCTATTGTACTTGTAGAGGAAATAAGGCAAATAGCAATGACTTGTAATGTCTCTCTCTAAGTAATCTGATTATTATAAAAACATATATAAGAAAACATAGTGCTTGATGTTAGTCCGCCTCAACCCATCCCTTTTTATTGTCACTTTCACTTTTAGATTAGTAGACTGGTGTGAAATATCAAATAGCACTCACTATATAGAGAGAAGCATTTGCTTTTAAGTCCTAGTGTTGTATGGTTTGCATTAAGTAGTGCCTCTCAGTGACATCATTTATAGAGCACAATGTTTTCTTGTAACACTGAAACATGATTTACATGCTCTACTCGGTGCCTTTGTTTGTGGTTTAACTATTGGAAGTGTTTTAAAGTTAGGTCATCTTACATGATATGGATGTACTGTACAGTGTACGTGTATGTTCTCTGTTTACCCAGGAACAAAAACAAAGAGAAGCAGGCATTTCCTGTTGGTCATGTCTGTAATTGTGGGTTGCTGACACAGACAGACGTTTTGTGATTCTGAACCTCTGCTCTCCTTTGCAGATGGAAGTGCCTTAGAAGTTGCCAGAAGCCCAGAAAAAGAAATTACTCTTCGAGATTATCAGATGGAAGTCGCTGGACCTGCCTTGGAGGGGAAAAACATCATCGTATGTCTCCCCACAGGAAGCGGTAAAACCAGAGTTGCAGTTTATATTACCAAAGAACATCTGGACAGAAGGAAGGCTGAAGGGAAACCAAGAAAAGTGATCGTCTTGGTGAACAAGGTACTACAATGTCTGTCTGGTATAGAATACTTCTGGGTTTGCACTATTATGCTAACCTACTTCTGTCCATTTCTCATTAAGCACTCCTGAACATTGTTATTTTTCAGCACATACTTCATGTGGTCTGTTGTAGGTTTTCCAGCTGTAAAACTATGTGGTTGCATTTGAAAACAATGCAACCACATAGAAAATCATCACAGTTTTTGATTCTTGATTTGTGCCTTTACTCTCTCTGCTCTAAAAACCAACATCAACAGAAGCTCCTAAATTACTGCACAGCTAATTTGAGACCATGCCTTAACCAAACAGTCTAGCATATATTTATGTGTTCTGGTTTACTAATGTTGGCACAAACACTTAAATCATCAGGAGCTCTCTGATCCTAAAAACAACAGTAAAGACTTTTTCTAATTTTGTCAGTTAAATCTCTTGACTTTTGTGGCATTGACTTCATGAAAGTTTCATGTGCTCTGATGCCCTCAGGTTCCTCTTGTTGAGCAGCACTACTCTGCAGAATTCCTGCCCTTTCTCAAGAACAAATATAAAGTGGAGCGAGTCAGCGGAGACTCCCAGCTCAAAATCTCTTTCACAGAAATCGTGAAGAAAAATGACATCATCATCTGCACTGCCCAGATTCTGGAAAACTACTTAGAGAGGGCTAACAGTGGAGAGGATGAGGGCGTGAACTTAAGTGGTATGATATTTCAACAAAATTTCACAAAATTTAATACATTATTCTTGTATTTTTTTTTTTAAAAACACACTCTTTAACTAAAATCTATCCAGGCTTAAGCTTCAAACTCTGACAGCTTCTGGAATGGAAAGCCACCCAAAGGACAGAGCGGCATCTCCCCTGATAGTATCTTGTCAAAGTCTTCCGACTCTGCTGCTTACTCCTGTTGGCACTCACAAGTCCAAGGTGGAATAGCCACCTCAGTGGAACATATGCTGTTTGTTGAAACGCCTGAAAGCATGTACTTTTTTTTCCTCCTGGTTTCCAGGCCACACGTCTGTTCAAGCCATCAGTGTGTGGCTCATCAAATTCACATGAGAGCTTCTATCACCCAAAATACATCAAGCTGCCACTCTCCATTCTCTTTTTCCTCCAGGGAGGATTTTGCATTGCATCGTTTAAACTAGTACATGGGAATAATTAGAATTCACCCTGCTTACACTTTTGTAAAATCCAAACTATATAAAGTTTTTTTTGTTTTTTGTTCTTTGAAGTAGACAGTTTTCCAACATATGTTATTGTGTGGCATAAACTGCTGTGTCAAAGGTTCCTAGAAAAGTACTGGTTTGCGTGGGTAGGTTTGGGAGAGAGATGGCATCTGTGAGGGAAATCACCTCTGTTTACGTAACAAGCAAAATAAATGGGATAAAATTAGCTCTGCTGGTCGAGAAAATTACAGTCTTTTAAGATTTGAGCACTTTTGTCTCTTGGCAGTAATGTGGCAGCGAGAAATTGGGACACGTGCATGTTATTTTTGAAACAAAGCAACATTTATGTGTTTCTCTTTTGCACATATAGACCTGACACTCATTATAATAGATGAGTGTCACCACACTCAGAAGGGAGGCGTCTACAACCACATAATGATGCGATACCTGAAGCAGAAACACAAGAACAAAAGGCTCGTAAAGGAGCAGAAGGAGCCTGTGCCCCTCCCTCAGATCCTGGGCCTGACTGCCTCTCCAGGGGTTGGGGGAGCCACGAAAATGGAAAAAGCAGAGGAGCACATACTGCGTGTAAATACTGTTTCTCTGTCTTCACCTGTGTGGATAAAAGTGTTGCATGCATATTACTCTACTCATTCTTGGCACATTTAGTCATTATTTAAAGTTAGCTATAGTCTTTAAGGCTTCTGATTAATATATCTGACAGTCTGGGAAAGAAAACTAGTCATCAGTCATGCTTCTTTGTGTCCATACCAAGTAACTCACATGTCACAGTGAACAACATCTTTTTTTAATCAGAATCCTGCTCCAGTTCTTTCTGCTTCAGTCATAGAGAAACTTGTTGATTCAGCCAAGTTCTTTCCACTGTTCCACACTGACCATGCACACAAGGCAGCCATAAAGTTTCCACTGCAGCAGAAAATAAGCAGAAATACGCTCTATCATGAGATCAAGATGTGGGATTAATTTTAACACTATAAATCTTTGTATTTTTTTCACAGATCTGTGCAAACTTGGACGCTTCCAGAATAATGACAAGGCGCCAAGAGGAATTCAAAAAGGAGCAAAGAAAAATAGTTGTTTCTGTTGAAGATAGGAGGGAGGTATGGCTGTTTAACATGGCATGGTTTTGTGCCAAGCTTTTCTTTGACTCTAATTCATATGAGGGACTCCAGCTGATGTTAATGCAGGATTACATGTGTGTGAAACTAAATATCCTTTTTAGGATCCCTTTGGTGATGTAATCAAGAAAATTATGACCGCCATCCACAACCATGCCGAGCTGACCCCCACCTGTGACCTCGGCTCTCAGAATTACGAACAGTGGGTTGTTCAAAAAGAACGACAAGGTGAAAACAGATTTTTACGCTCATCTTTCACTAGTTATCGTTTGTTCAACCTCCCATGGTGTGTAGTGTCTAAAAGTACTTGTCTCGATCCATTTTAGCTGCAAAAGATGAAAATCAGAAAGTACGAGTTTGTGCAGAGCACCTCCGACAGTACAGCGAGAGCCTGAATCTCTGCAACACGATTCGCATGCAAGATGCCTTCAGTTTCCTGAACAAATACTACGAGGAGGAGATGAAGAAAAAAACTGCCCCGGAGGAGGAGCATAAGATACAAATCACAGATACTGAGAGGTTCCTCTTCAATCTGTTTAAAGGTATTGTGAAACTAAGCATTCGCCTGAAAATTCAAAGTAGTTGTTGACTTTATAATCTGAGATTTGGAAAATCTTTTTTTTTTTGGTAAATGTGAGGTAAGATATCGTTTGGCTTAAATTAGCTAATAGATGTGAAACTGGGATCTAGCTAAACAAGACTTGTCCACGGAAAATGAGGTCCACCTGTGAACATATGCAAATGAAAAGCAAAAAGGATTTTGAAGTCTGCAGTGGTTGCCAGCATTCAGAACAAAAAAGACAAATTATTTGGGCTGTATATAAAAGACAGACATGGCCACGCAACATCAGCCAATGGTCATTAGTCTACCATTTTGAAATACTGAGTTTGGCATCATAGCTGCCGTCATTTGACTTTGGATGCTGATGTGATCATATTTGAACGACAGTGTAAAGTAATAAGTTATCAGCTAATGGATGCAAGCTTGGATAGCAAGATCCAGCCAAAGACTGCACAGATATTAGTTAATATGTGCCTGCAATTATATTAAAATTTAAAACACAAAACCTCTTCAACAGTCTTTTATTATGATTGATACACATTGAGCCATTATTCATTTTCTGTGCCAGTCTCATGCATTAAAAAGGTTCCAGGACTCATCAAAATAATAAACTATTATCAGGAGTTCCAGTTAAGGCATTCAGATTAACTAAAAAGTGATTCTTAGCATAGAAATAGCAGCTTTTTGTTATCCAATTTCCTAATAATGCAATAAAGTTTAAGCCTTTGTACAATTTAAACAAGAACAATATCTAAAAATGAATGTGTCCTTCATCATCAGGGGTAAAGAAGCTGTAGAGACCAAAATTATTTTTGTACTTTCTATATTACTGCCTATAAAATTAGCCATTTTACTTCTGGAATATGTGGAGATAGCCTAAAAGGGTAATTTGAGAACCTTCATGGTTTGGCAGTTGAGCCCTATGCGTTACAGATTTCTACCAGGCACAACTTAAACAAATTTATAGTCTACCTGTGAATTTTGTGGTAGATTTGAACCCTTCCCACATTTCCGGTCCTGTTGTTTAGCTGAGCTAAGCTGCTTATCACTGTACTTACTAGAGGTATAAACCCTCATATTTAACTCATAAAAAGACACCATATCTTTGATGTCAGCGATAGAAAAGTGTAATTCACTTCTTTGTAATCTGTGTCTGACAGACAACAAGAAGGAGCTGGAAACTCTAGCAAAGAATCCGGAGTATGAAAATGACAGCCTGTCAAAACTAAGAACTAAAATTCTGCATGAGTTCAGCTCTCGGGATGAAGCCAGAGGGATTGTTTTCATCAAAACACGACGCAGCGCCATTGCTCTAAATCAGTGGATACAGGAAAACTCCAAGTTTGCTGACATTGGAGTGAAATCAGCATATGTCATTGGAGGAGGAGACCAGAGTGTTGTTAAACCAATGACCTCGGTGAGTGCTACATTTCTCTCTATTTTCCTGCACAATTATTTGCGCCTTACACTTAACCTTCTCTTATAAATCTGTTTTAATCAGGCAGAGCAAAAGGATGTGTTGAAAAAATTTGGCAACGGTCAAGTCAACCTGCTGATTGCTACCACAGTAGCCGAGGAAGGCTTGGACATACCAGCCTGCAATTTCGTTATTCGATATGGCCTTGTGACAAACGAGATCGCTATGATTCAGGTCAGTAATGAGTTGAATAATGAGCATTGAATGTGGTATACCCAGTAATTGAAGGAATATTAGCCTGTGTAAAACAAACGTGGTTGCCTACCCTTCACTCACAATCGCCTTTCTCAGGCCCAAGGCAGAGGAAGAGCCGAGGACAGCAGTTACACGCTGGTCGAGGTGAAGAACTCCGGGGTGGCTGAAAAGGAGTGCGTCAATGAATACCGCAAGAACATGATGAACAAAGCCATTCAGAAAATTAAATCCTTAAATCAGGCAGCCTATGAAAAAAGAGTACGTTTACTTCAGAATTTTTAGTCTCAGTTAAATTGAAAACCCACATGGCTTTGAGACTTTTTTTGTTTGTTTGTTCATCAGATCACTGAGTTTCAGATTCAGGCTATAATGGAAGAGAAAGTAAGAATGACGAAGAAGAAGCAGAAGGACATAAAGAACGAGAGCCCATCTAATGTAAAGTTTAGCTGCCGAAGCTGCAGCGAGCCAATCTGCACGGGCGACGACATCCAGATCATCGAAAACATGCACAGAGTCAATGTGACGCCACAATTTAGGTACAGTTTACAATTCAGTTCTTAACCGTTTGTATGTGTTGAACTGTATTCCACTCGTGTAGTTGTGCTGTGATTATTATCAATTTTACTGCATCTTTTTACAGAAAACTTTACATTCAGAGAGAAAATACTACTCTTCAGGAGCGTCTTCTCGACTATGAGACCAACGGCTTCATTGCATGTAAAAACTGCGGACAGGTAGATTCAGTTTAGCTTTTTCAATTATTTGGAAATTCTCTTGTGAATCTTAAAAAGATAATCTTATTCAGAATGTTCAATTTAGTAGATAACTAAACACAGCATTGCTGCATTAACAAGGAGTCATTCAGCATATGCACAAACATGATGCTTAAGCATAATTAGAAAAAGTAGGACATTTATGACTCTTGGTCATAAGCAATAAAGCTAGTTCAAAGAGAAATGTGAGTCTGTCATATGACATAAGATTGCAGCCCTTTAATTTGAGATCATGTTTCACCACAAATTTAGATTACAGGACAAAAGGGCATAAAAGCAAGCCTTTATTTAGTCTTGGTTAGGCCTGCATTGAGAATAAAATACTCATTGTATGTTGTGTTGCATTCTGTTACAGAGATGGGGTTCAATGATGATGTACAAGGGGATCGAGTGCCCCTGCCTTGATGTGAAAAACTTTGTGGTGAATTTAAATGGAAAGAAGATTAGCAAATGCACCAAGTGGAATGAAGTCCCCATCAAGTTTTCTGCCTTCGACTACGCTGAACATGCAATCAACATGACCATGTCCGATAACTCGGATGATGACGAAACAATGTGAATTATAACCACGTAGAATAACCAGCGACTGAGAAAGCCTTGATTTCTATTGTGTTGCCGTATGGCCGACACAGGATTAATAACCTTAGCAGAGTAGTGAATGTTATGTTTCCTTTGAATGTTTACTTGTTAACTGGAGAAATGAATGGTGATGGGACTGAAGTGTGTTCGTAAAGAAAAAGTGTGAATGTTTTACATCATTTTAATGGTTAAAGTATTATTGTGAATTGTGCAAAATTGCAGAATAAGGGTTTTACTCTTCAATTATGTTCGCATTTGATGGGATTTACTGTTGAAATAATGCATGATTACAGTGTATTAATTTCTATGTAAGGGTTTGTCACTGGTATTAAATGAACTGGAAAAGCAAAGCAAGAAAATAAAGTATATATATATTTTTCCCTTTCAAACTCTGGCTGTCTCATGAGATGGGAGTCACCGAGTCTGTGATAGCCCCTCAGAGCCCACCTGTCACACACGCACACAAACAGGTGCTATGGATTTTCCATTAAATCCACAGGTTAGTGAGTCACTACGATTGAGACAGCACTGCTATTCCTAAAAGCCTCTTTTAAGCTTGTTTGCGCAAACATATATATTACCTGCTTGATCGTATTGTCTGGATACACAAGCAGGAAGCTTGTTTGATCCAAAAGTATTACAAAACTGACTGCCCTTCTCATTTTTATCTCATTTTTCCTCTTTATGCTCATATTTAAATAATAAATCAACAACATTTAAAAAAAATACAGTTACTTCATTGTGTACGCTAAGTGAAAAGCCACGTAAATATTTTTTTACACTTCATGGTTAAGTATATTGATGTAGACACACAAAAAAAACCTGCTTTTCCAGCTGTCCTGTTTTGTTGCGTGAATACTTTACGCCCATAGTGAAAAAGCCACTTCCTAATACCAGCAACTTGTGCGCTCTTTCAAAGTTGGGCAGCAGACTTCGAGGAGGCATTTCTGTCGACTGGTCTCAGAAATGCAGCGAGGAGAGAAGGAAACCTTCGACTAAAGCGGGACGGAGCTCCGTTTTCTCATGCGGCTGCATTAGTTTAAAGTTACCTTTGCAAGCGTACGGTTATGTTAACTAAGCTGCATGTTCCAAGAAGTGACTGTAAACTTCACGCCAGCTGCCTTTGAGGAATATTTTAAAAAACCAAGAGCTTCACGGCGACTTCATCTGGACCATGGTCAGTAATCGATTTACCATCAGTACTGGGGGGGAAACAAAGAAAATCTGTGTAAAAGCATGGCTACTTACTGTGACAGTGTGAAGCTCACCGTGGGACTAATAAGTTACTAAAGGAGAGCCTGCAGCGTCAGCATCTTGTTGTGTGCTTTCAGAGGATTTTTATAGGCTGCCACTTTTGTGTCACCTTTCGCAGGGCTGCAGTAACAAGGTGATGTGGGGGGTGATAGGGGCGGCTGTCGTCATCACGTTAATAACCATTCCAGCAGTTATTTACAACAGTAAGTTAGAGCCTTGGCCCGTGAGTCGCTTTTCTTTTCTTTCTTTTCAAAAAGCAGCTACAGAGGCTACTTCAAAGCAGACTTCTTTCTGTGTTTGCGCATTTCCTATTTGTTTGCTTTATTCAAGCAACGAAGTTGTAAATGCGCAAAAAAAATGGTCGTCACATATTTTGGAGAGTTGGTATCGTTACATGCAAGTTAAATAAATAATGCACCCCATGTGTATCATTTCAGAATCTGGTGGTAACAAAAGGCCTTTTTCTCTTGATGACTACTTTAATGACACCTTTAGATGGAGAGCCTACAATTTGTATTGGATATCAGGTATCACTGTCAGTCACTTAACCTCTGCTATACCTTCTGATTTTGGTAGCATTAATCTCCACCTTTGATACAAACTTCTTGGAAGCTTATCTATTATCCTTGTTCCTGCAGATAAGGAGTATTTGCATAAAGCAAGAGACGGGAATGTCTTTCTCCACAATGCTGAAACAAAGGAGGAGTCGCTGTATTTGAGCAATTCAACCTTTGTAATATATTTGTACTTAGACCAAATATTTTCCTAATATATACTGTCACGCATGTTAAATAGCCTACTATGTATATTAGTATATGAATTCTGCAACACATCCATAAGTTCATGCAGTCATTTTTATTTCAGGCCCAAGTTGAAGCCACAGATTATTTGCTGTCAGGTGATTATAAATACATCGCCTTTGAAAGCAACTACACAAAGGTGAGGTGTTAAATTTCACCTAGTTACGTTTCTATCTTTATTTGTATTTTTTTTTAAAGCATTATTTTTTTTTCTATTTATTATTATTTCTATAATTCTGCTAATGAAAAACCTGCAAATGAAAGTGTTTGTCGTTAAAATCCTACAGAAATGGAGACACTCATTCAATGCCTCATATTCGATCTATGACAGGGAGAGTTCGTAAGTAGCTGTTTTTTGTGAGTTTTATCAATGAATTTTGGTTCCCACCCCAAATGTATCATCTGTAAAAATGTTTATTCATCAGTTGGTACATTACTATTATGCCTGTATGTGTTCATATTTCATCGTAGAACTTTTGTCACGCCTGCAAATCTTCCACGTGTTGTGCAGTACTTTACCTGGGCACCAACCGGAAACAAATATGTAAGCGCTCACCATGTACTTTTTGTCTCCAGTGAATAATAAGTTGCAATTCGGTTTATCTGAATAAATATTTATTTATAATACTTGTGGCTTATTTTTGTTGCAATAAATTTGTAGCTGTATGTTTATGGTTGAAATCCACTTTTTCTTTTCAGGCCTACATTTCAGACTTCAACATTTTTTTCAAATCCAATGTCAGTGCTGATGAAGCTGTGCAACTGACACACAACGGGAAAAAGAATGAGATCCTTAACGGTGTCCCTGACTGGGTGTATGAGGGTTAGTGACATTATTATTTCTTTTTCAAAAGTGTGCATCTGTATGGGTTAATATTTTTCTCCAATAATTTCAGAGGAGGTGTTTGCATCGAATGGGGCAGTATGGTGGTCCTCAACCGGAAAGTTCTTGGCATATGCAGAGTTTAATAATACAGAAGTTCACAAAGTGGAGTTCTCTTGGTATGGATCTGAGCAATATCCTCAGACAGTGGCCATTCCATACCCAAAGGTGGGATTCTATAACTTTCAAACATGGAATTATGAGCAAAATATAACCATCAATATCAATTTATCATTTTAAATTGTCAAAAATTGTCAGATCTCTTGTAATATATAATTATTTATCACAAATATTATATTTGTATTTGTATAGGCTGGATCACCCCTTACTAAGGTGAAACTTTTTGTTGTCGATACCACAAACCCATCCCACCGCACACAGGTGTTTGCGCCCGCTTCTGTTTCTTCTGGGTCTGTATATTATTTAGCACATGTGTAATCATTTACCGGAAAATGCGATGCCTTCATGGTCTGTCTTATGTGAAAACCTTTTCTCCTTCTGTCGCGTTTACTCAGTGATCACATCTTGTGCTCGGTGACCTGGGTTACAGATATACGCGTTGCAGTGCAGTGGCTCACAAGAAGACAGAATTATGTGGTTGTACAGATCTATGATTTTGATGGAAGTCGCTGGACAGAAAAACAGGTAGCTGTGACTTCTCTGCTGAGGAAATCGTCTTGATGGCCATGCTCTGCTAATTAACTGCAACTGATGTCTTTACTATCTATAGAAATTCGAGCAAACAAGCAAGACTGGATGGGTGGGCCATGTAAGTTTCCAAAAGATTACTGATATAGTTCTTTAAAACCTTACTTTGATGTATCACTATAACGTATTACTTTGTTTTTTCCTTAGTACGTGCCCTTGCCTCTTTTCTTTGCTGAAGATAAGCTTAGTTTCTACAAAGTGATGAGTGACACTAATGGCTACAAACACATTCATTATGTGAAAGATGTAAGTGTTACCAGTTTTCTTTATGCAGAATGTGTTGCACAGTCATATCAATCATGTGTTTAGATTTTAGTGAGTTACTAAAGGAAGCTCTTTAATTAAGGGCAAAGCAACCCCTGTTACCTCTGGGAAGTGGGAAGTTATCTACATAAGCAAATTAACCAAAGATGCCATGTGAGTGATGAATCCATACGTTTATGGGGAAACTGTATAAATCTTAAAAATGTAAGTAAGAATATAAAGACCTGGTGTGTGAAATTCCTTTCTACAGATATTTTGTGAGTAATGAGCATGGAGGAATACCTGTACAGAGAAACCTCTACAAGTAAGGAATTATTCTCATCTGTCCTCTTTTTTTACCAGTTAAAATCTATATGTAGATAATTATATAGGTGACGTGCTGTTTTTTTTCATCAGGGTTATGATTGGAAGCAGCCCCTCTGCCCCCCAGTGTCTCACCTGCAACCTGCGTAAGGACAGGTGCCAGTACAACTCAGGTTACTTCAGCTTTGACGCCTCTTACTACCGAATGGACTGCTACGGTCAGTTACCCATTCACATTTTCTCTTACTGTAAGCAATAACTCACCGATTTGGGGTAGTGAACATCTGTGAACACTAATCCTTGCTGAAGGCATGCAGACGATTTGATGTGTAATCCACTTCTATTTGTGTGTATCCTGTTTTGTTTTGTTTTTCTTGAACCAGGACCTGGATTCCCCCTGTACACACTCATGGACAGCAAGGGCTCAGGTGCAGATTCATATAACCCAAACACATTGTTAAATGACTCATTGCACTCACATGGTATACTATTAAAGGATAAAGCTACTGTTTTTGAAGGTGGTCAAATAAGAAGAACCCAGTAAATATTCCAGCAGAATTTTCTTGCTGTAGTTATTCCTTCTGTCCATACAAGCCATTCATATTTTGTGCTTCCAATGGAGTTGATATGGGATCAGATCTCAAGGTAAAAGCGAGGCTTTAATAGTCCAGAAAGTTTTTAAGTATTTAAGATCTCTGTGTTTTTATCTGCATTTGAAAATGTTCTATAAAACGTAGTTAATTTGGTACTGAAAAAGCTGATAGCTGAAAAGCTCATTTTTAAAGTCCTTTGATTTGATACGTTGTACCACTGAAAGCATATATGTAACTTCACATTAACTTTAGGCTGCAATAAATCTGTAAACCAGCACTAGGTGCTGTTTTGGTTTCATACAGCCAGTAGATCGAATATAGTGGCCCAAGTTCAAGTACTTTTGGCTGCTCTTTTACTTCCCAAGGATTCATGGCAGTAGATGGATCCACATATTTGATTAGACACAGATTTTACACCAGATTCCCTTCCTGACATAATCCTCCCATTTATCGAGGCTTGGGACCAGAACTGGGGGTAAATGGTAAATGGTAAATGGCCTGTATTTGTATAGCGCTTTTACTAGTCCCGCCTAGAGACCCCAAAGCGCTTTACACACCCAGTCATCCACCCATTCACAC